TTTAATACACTCTCTAATCTAATAAAATGTTATTTTGAGCACAGATTGAGTGTTTTTCTCTTTAATCTTTTTTCTTTAGTTGGTAGGGAACTTCCCCAATCAGTCCTAAAGAACCTACGATGGATCATGCAAAAGGTGATTGGGAGAAGTTTGTTTTATGATATGATTTCTTAGAAACAATTTAGTATCCCTTACGTATATGATGCACGATCCTCGCAGTAGATAGCGCTATTTATGCAATAGCGAAAATCAGACCTGAAAAAAATCAGGCCTGTACGGGACTCGAACAACTGACCTCTGCGATACTAGTGCAGCGCTCTACCAATTGAGCTAATAAGCCTACTGGAAGCAAGCCGTTAAGTTGATTCGTAATAAACCCGTGAAAGTGATAAATGAGATACAATGAATATATGAAGTTCATATATATTGAACTGCGGTATTAGATACATATGAGGGTTCTTGTAATACAATATTAATGAGGGTATTAGTAGCGCTATCTACTGCGAGGATCGTGCATCATACGTATCTAATACCGCAGTTCAAAATATATGAACTTCATATATTCATTGTATCTGTTTATATCTATTCATGTCGCCATGGAAACGGCAAATACGTCAGCTTAATTATCGAAAAAACAAAGTTTGTGTTGTTAACTTGCTTGCTGCCAGTTTTGGCGACCGAGAGATCAAGGGTTTTAGAGAAAAAGGTGAAAGAGACAAAGGTATCAAAAACTGTGTTCAGCCACCTTAAGGTAGGTGGGGGTTAACATGGTAGAACATGATTAATAAAGTGTAGAAGGTTAAAGTGGTTAGCTTAGGATACACGGGATTAACGGGGTAGAACAATGCTAGCTACGACATATTGTTCATCATACATGAATATTGTACTACTTTGTATCATGGGATATGATATGTATGGAGGGTCTTATGGGCCTTATAGGAACGCTTTACCCTCCCCCCCTCCCAAAAAAGGTGTCCTGGTGATGACCATTTTGTACAAATAAACCACCAACTCCAGCACCAAGCTACATTGAAATGGAAGAGAGAAGGACAAAAATGAGAGTTACTAGAAAAGATTAAAAAAGAATAGGCTTGTCTAAGTCAGAATTGGAAAGTTCGTCAATCTTCCTGACTTCCATGTTTGTATGTTTATCTATGAATTTTATGTCATCATACCTTCATTACAATGACGAACCATGAAATAACAAAGACGTTTCTTCATTACCTGCTTCGCACCTCGCACCCCCGAATCCAGCAGGACACAGACAGCGATATCCTTTATCGGTAAAACCACTTTGACAAATGGCGTTGTTCATGCAAGGATTTTCAACACAAGCACTCTATAACGAATGAAAACCATGAAACATAAAACAGGTGGTTCCTTTATGGCTATTTGCATCACAAGCTATTTTTTTTTTCAGATATCAGCTAATACCAGTACGGATTTGCAAGAAAAAATTGATGGTGTGATGAAACTTGTAGCCGGTCGTTAGGAATACAAACCTGAAAACATTCAGATGAAAAAAAGGGAGGTGACTAGATGTTGTTATAAAGCGTTCACTAAGACCTCCACTAACTAAATTGTAGTTACCTCAAATGCATGGTAGAAGAAGTTTTCCTCCTTAACCCAAACGCTTTCGTAACCTTCGTGTGTGACATTATTTAATTCACATTTGTATTTTCCGTTTCCACCCGCTTGTTTTTCAAAATTGATGCTGACACAGTTGGGTTCCATATAACACATAGTTTCGCAGAACTCCTGTACCATAACTTTAGCACTGCGGATCACATGGTTTTTGAGACGTTTCCCGTCAAAAGCTCCTTTAGGACCAAACTTCAAATGACGGCATTGGTCTGCATCAGAGAACTCTTAAGATATGAAGGGTTTCAGTAATGTGTTTTAGATGAACAAGGATAAAATATGTATTTTAAAGGATAAGAGTTCTGTCTAAATGGAAATCATCCCTCGCAACTCCCTATTTCCATAGTAACGTTTAGGGCTCTGTTCTCACTGCGCAGGTTAAATTTGGAAACGTCCTTATTCACTCTTAACCAAACGTAAAGTTCATTTCGGCACTGAAGACGGATTAATGCTTTCCGCAGACGCTGAAATGCTTAACAGCGAAAAAAAAACAAAAAAACAACTCGGATGTGCTTTTTGAGCATGTTGCTTTTTCACGCTATTTTGGCAAATTGCAGCCTAATCGATGGAATAACTGGACCTGCGCTGCACGCAATCCAAAATTAATTAAATTAATTTTAAAAAATTGGATACGCTTTTTGAGCATGTTGCTTTTTCACGCCATCTTGGCCATGTTGGAACATAGTCGTTGGAATAGCACAAACTACACTGCACATCACCCACAATTAATTAGGTCTTACGGGTAAGGTAAGTGCCGTGTGGTTGAAATCGAAGAACATGCAGCATCATGGTGTAAAAGCAGCTGTTCCGCAGTCATTCCAGACTTAGCGATGCAATTATGTACTGGCAAACTGAGAAGTTTACCTGTGAATTTCCTGAAAATGTGATACGATTCTCAAAACGTTCTAACACTTAAGAGCGTTTCTTAGAGTCGATTCTGACACTGATCTTGCTATCGCTTTTGGATTTGAGAATTTGAATTCGGTCTAAAGAAGGAGAAATCGTTATAGAAAAAGTTTCAAAACTAGTGGGCCTGATATCGATTAAGAAATTTTTGTGGCGACACAAAAAGTAACAATGTCATCGTTTTTACTGTTGAATATATCAGAATGTTTCCTTTCCGCGCCTTTCATTTCAAACCGAATTAAAAATGGCATGGATTATAGTCGGAAGTATATTAGATCGATCCCTACAGATAGCTGCAAACATCAATTCCATAGCCAATTCGTTAAAACCGATATATTTAAATGGAAAACAGACATAAACGTCTAGCATAATTAAGTAAAAAAAACAAACAAACATAAAGGATTTTCGTCGCTACTAACCCTGTGAATCGACAGTCTGTAGTTTCATGACGCAAAGTTCCATCAAAAGAACAAAGTTGAAAACAGTATACATATTGGTCTATTTTGACGCGTACTATCTGGTGCTCTGCCAAGTTCAATAAGTGAGTGCATATTGCGATGGGCATTTCGTAAACATTGCTCTAAATTGCTCAGAGTATTATTTTCTGCGGAAAAATTTGGTAAATTCGATTTCTTGAAGCATTTCTATGCCCCTCAAGTGAGATATTATAGATGCTCACCATAAATATCACCTTTGTAGGAGATTAGATGTAAGGTGAAATATATGCGTTTTCACTTAAATCATTTTTGAATACCTGAATGGTTTATTGATATAAGCCTGGTAGTTGCAGCTTAGTCTCCCTCAGAAAAAAAAAAAAAACAAGAAAGCTTGAATGTTGAATTAGAATATTTTTTTGCTTATATTGCCTTTTGAAAAGAGGCTTTTGTAGCTGTTGCAGATATCGGAATACAAGTTCTTAGAAAAACGCGCCACTGAGTATATTTTCTTTTTCCTTTTCTTTTTTTTTTTTTTTGATCCTCTCTTTGTTTTGCCTTTTTATTTTGTTTTGCTTTATCTTAGGTTTTTTTTTGTTTTGTTTTTGTTTTGATTTTTTGTTCTCGGTTTTTTGTAAAACGATAACATTACTATAGTTTTTCAAATGGAATCCATGTGAATCCTCGTCGTCCCCAACCAACGTCGTCCTTCATAAGTCTCACCAACTTTTAACAACAATCACTGTTGACAAATTTGATGTTAAATGCTCATTTTAATTGCGTTATCGTGATTTAGTTAAGCTCGATCTTCCGTTAACTGACGAAAACCACGATAAACTCAAAACTAAATTAAAGAATATATCCTATAGCTACATTTACTCATGACTTTTCAAAGCATACGAACATTCTAAGCCAAGACGAATGGAAAGCCTTAATTGATTTACGCAATCATGAGAGCATTATCATCACGAAACCGGACAAAGGAAATGGTGCAGTGTTAATTAGCAGACTTGATTATCTTAACGTCTTATCTTCCGTGTATCTACACGGAAATCATCTCTCACAGCCCCTTAATTTTTATAACAGATTCAATAAAATTATTATTACCTTTGTTATTAACTTCTTAGTCACTATTAACCAAAATTAAGGTTGATTTCGGCACTGGAGACGGATAGATGTTTTCCGCGCACATTGATAAACTTAACAGCGGAAAAAAAAAATTGGATGCGCTTTTTGAGCATGTTGCTTTTCACGCCATCTTGGACAGGTTGGAACATAATCGTTGGAATAGCAGAAACTGCACTGCACACCATCCAAAACTAATTAAGTCTTACGGGTAAGGTAAGTTCCATGGAGTTTGTTGAGGCTATTCCTCAACAAAGCTTTATGTTAGTCCGTTCCGTTCCTCACTTTTTTGTATGTCACGTAGACCACAATCGTTCAGTAGTAGTTTTAATTTTTCTACCTTTTTTTACGCACGTGGTGAAGCGCTTGTAAATAATTTAGGTACGTGATACTGTTTCTTTTCTTTCGTTTACCGCCTTTCATCATATGGTTTTTACGGCTCCCTGAGTCTCGTAATTTATGATGAAAGGGCAACCGGATGGTTTGTAATCATTGGAATTCTTCGCCGTCATTAAATTCGTTGGTTTAATGAGCTGTTCTGTTGTTATTCGACATCGACGCCGCTATATGTGTCCGACCCGGAGAGAGTTGAAAATGAGGAATATGAAGCATCCTGCTGTAAAAGCAGCAGTTCGACAGCCATTCTAGACTTAACGAAGTACTAGTAAATATTTTTTTTTCCCGGCAAACTGAGAAGTTCCATTTGGTAAAGCGTTCTAACATTTAAAGGTGCTTGCTAGGGCCTTTTCTAACACTGATCTTACAATCTATTTAGGATTTGTAAATTTGAATTGGGTCTAAAGAAGGAAAACTCGTTATTGAAAAATTTTCAAAACTAGCGGGCCCGATATCGATTAAAGAATCTTTGTGACAGCACACAAAAAAGTACGAATTTCATCGTTTTTACTGAAAAAATTTTCAGATGTTTCCTTTCCATGCCTTTCCTTTCAAACCGAATTTTAAAAAGGTGTGGATTGTAGCCGGGAGTATTTTAGATCGATCCCGACACTGAGATAGCTGCAAACAACAATTCCATAGCCTGCGCACCATCATAGAACCAAACTATCTCAGACGCAACGGACATAAACATCTAGCATAGTAAGTAAAAAAAACAAATGACAAACAAACACAAATTAAAGCCAGAGGCAAGGCTTAAGTCAAAATGCTACAACAGGAATAGCGTTACTGTTGTTAAGACGTTGATATGATTTTCGCCGATACTAACCTTGTGATCCGACAACCCTGAATTTCATGGAGCAAAGTTCCATCAAAAGAACGCAAAAAAAAGCAGTGTACATGACCGCATCGTTCAACACTTATTTAATTCATTTACTTCAACTTAATACAATTAAAGCTTATTAAACCCTGACCTGCATGAATAGTGATTTATTTTGACGCATATTATCAGGTGCTCTACCAAGTTTAATAAATGTATGCATATTGCGATCTGCGTTTCGAAAACATCGCTCTAAATTGTTCCGAGTATATTTTTCTGTTGAAATATTTTGTGAATTCGATTTCTTTTAAGCATTTGTATGCTCCTCAATTTAGATATCCTAAAACTCCTTATGAATATTACCTCTGGAGGAGAGCAAATATGATGATTACTCGATAAAAATTATTTTTTCATATCTGAACGGTTTATTCATATAAGCCTGGCGGGTTAGGTTCAGTCTACATTAGAAATATATGATACTCCTGCTGAGATGAAACAGTTGGATGATTCCCACGTTTTCATTAAATCAACAATAGGTCACTGCTGATGTTCTCTCAGAGAAGAACTACTTTAGAGTTTGAAATGTGACGTAGATTCTTTTCTTCTTTCTTTTTGTTTTGTTTTGGGTTCTCTTGTTTTTCTTTTTTTTTTTTCCTTTGTGAGGTTTCTTTAACTCTCTCTGTAGGCAATTCACCACGAAACAAAAGTGACCCAAATAACTTAAAGGTGCTCTGTGATATTGAACAACAGTAACTTACAAATATTCATGGAAATTATGACAAAGACTGGCAAAATAACGAGTGAGAGCTCATAACAATTTCCTGTAAGACTCACTTATCTGCTGAGAGGTGTAGCAATGGTTGTAGCGAAGAAGCAAGCAATCGATAGGCAGAAATTAAAGATCCCGCCTTCCAATCAAAAAGTCAGTCTGAGTAGGATCGTCTTTAGGCGGGAAGCGAAGAATTAAATATGATGGAAAATAAATAACATTGTAGTGTAGGATTTAACTGAAGGAATTCTACAATTATCCTTCATAATCTAGAGATATTTTTTAACTTTCTCTGGGAACTGCTTCGTGTAGAGAAATCCACGAAAGGGACCGGTAAGTAACATTAATGCTTTTCTGGCTTTAATTAAAAAGCCGAATTGTCGTTTTTTAATACGTTTGTACCTTTCGTGGAGACAAATTTAAGCTGCGGTTTTAAAAGGGAAATTCTGAGGCCGATTTCCTGTCATCTCGTCCCAAGCAGCTGCTTATGCTGTAATCACACGCAAAGAACGTGACGAACACAG